TCCATGGAGTCAGGGCTTGCGATTTGCGAAGGGTGGGATGGGTAAGTGTGTTGGTGGCAGGGGAAGGTGGTAATGACGGAAAAGTGCAAAGGGTGACATCGGGTTATGTTTCAGGAAAATCGGGGAGGTTTTTAGGGGCTAGGTTTCAGGTAGGGAGGGTTTCGAGGTTAACGGAATCGAAGGTGGGTGATTTGGGTGGCTGATGTGACGGAAAAAGGGAGGTGTAGTGACGGAAAAGGGGTTTTTTTTTTTGCGGTTGGGCGGTTAGCGGGGTTTGGGTTTGGAGGTGGTGGCTGGGCGGTGGAGTTGGTGGCTGGGCATGTGTGTGGTGGATGGGCGGTGGAGTTGGTGGCTGTGCGGTTTTGTTGGTGGATGGGTGTGTGTGTTGGTGGCAGTGGAAGGTGGTGGTGGTGTGTGTTGGGTTTCGGTGGGCTGTTCGTTGGTTCCTGTGGGCGGTGGGTGTGCAGGGGAGGGAGAGGGAGTGGTGGCAAGGGAACATGGTGGAGGTGGCAGGGGAAGGTGGTGGTGGTTGAAAAGGGATTCTGATTTTTTTTTTTCTTTTACTCTTTTTTAATAATTAAAAAAATAATTAACTTATAAATAGCTGACACGTGGCATATAATTTAGAAAAACCGGTCATCAACAGGTAATGGACCTGTTGGGGGAAGGAGGGGTATAAAGGTTAGATTTTTGAGGAATAATTTAAAGGTTGGATTTTTGTAAGGAAAAAGTTCCAAGGTTGGATTTTTCTTTTCCATTTTTCCTATTTAATATTGCAAGAAATTCCCTATGTACAACCATTGGAGTTGCTCTTATAGCAACAATAAGAGAATTAGCGATCATTTTAATTTCTCGCAAATATGATTTATGGTCTGATTTTCAGTCTTTTGTACAAGAAAGCATCCTCTTTAATTCCATGGAACGAGCAAGGCAATTCTAGCATTCATAAATCTAGTCTGTAATCGCTCCCAAATTTGACACGAAAATTTTAAATCATGGACTTCAACCAACACATCATGAGACAAAGTAGCAAATAACCATGAGCTAACGGTTTGATCAATTTTCAGCCATGCATAATACTCATAATTTATTACTTCATGTGTTAAAAAAAGATAAATTTTTGGATTTATTAAATTGTAGTGCTTTAGAAGTGTTAATTTTTTTTAATTTAATTTTTATTTATTCAATTATTTACTATATTAGTGCCCGTGCGATGCACGATTTTAATAATTTTTTTCCATGATTAATTTGTGATATACTACAAAAATGAGGCAACTCGTGTGAAATAAACAAACACAATTTGTATAAGAAAAATGATACAATAAGGCCAAAATTATTAAAATTAAATTGAGAAAAAAAAAATTATTGTGATTGCTTGTGCTAAAAATATTTTAAAGTAGTTTACATTATGTTACATTAATTAAAATATGCATATTATTCCCAATAAAACTATAAAACATATTTCCAAAAAATTAGCTAGGTAAAATTTTTTTTAAAAAAAGAGATCCTTAAAGATGACATCATTTATTGTTTTGGCGGGAAATTGTTTAACGATAGCTTAACATGTGTCAAAAATGATGTATGCATGTTCTGTTTTAGTATTAGTTAATAGATTTTGCAGAATAAAAGAAGGCAGCTAAATAAGTTAATAAATAATATATATGATAATTTTACAAACATTTGACAAGTTTAGTCTGTAGCTTATAAATAATACTCCCTCCTTTTCACTTTGTTAGTCCCATATAGAATCAATCACAAAAAATAAGAGAATGAATAATATTTGGAATCTTACATTTTAGTACAAAAATTGCTTAATTAGTTCTACCTTGTTAAATATTCTGATTTTAATTCTTTGGAAAGCATCCATTACAATGCTTGTTTAATATGAGGAATATCAATCAAATGCCATGTCATCAATCCACTAATGGGATTGATGACCAATCAAAATATTTAATTACTGCCATGTCATCAATCCACTAATGGGATTAGAAATTATAAGATCGAATTAGAAAAATAAAATAAAATAAAAAAGAAATAGATTCAATATGAGTAGATCATTTTGAAACGCCCAAAATAGTATATGGGACTAACATTATGAAACGGAGGGAGTAAGATTTAGGATGCAACTAGTGTAGTACTCGTGCAATTGCACAGTTTTGATAGTTCAAATATTAAATCTCACACGATGAAAAACAAAGTTAGCTTAATGCATAATAGTGATTTTTTTTTACATTATTTGATTATTCATTTATAATAAGTGTATCATAGTATTGCGTATCATAATTTTAATTCAATGTTGGAATTTAAATTTAGAGATGTAATCATATAAAAGGGTTATTGCCTTAACATATTTTTATCTTTTAGATAAAAACTAGCTTATGGTCCAATGCAATGCACGGATTCAACAAATTTTATAAAAGTTTGTATTTCAACAATTTTTTATAATTTTTTTTCTCTTATAAATAGTATGACAAAGGTCAATATTCTTTAAAATAAAAAGCTTTGTAATAAACTTTAAGTTGTATACACCCATATAAAATATATATACTTCATACAAATCTATATATATATATACTAAAACAGAGGGCACTCGAAGCTCCACTCTAACTATACTTTGACACGTGTCGAGCTATTGTTTAAAAATTTCCCGCTTCATGCATTTTTCACTCCTAAATATAGCAACTAAATCAAAGATTATATGTTATAAAATAATATAAATATTTTATACTCATTTACCTATTACCATAATATACCTACTTCCTTCTTATGATAATGCATGTAAAATCGGGATATAATCTCTGATTATATTTTCTTATAATATTATACATCTAAATATTTTTATTATCTAGAACTTAATATTTGATCTTAATTTTTTTTATAGCAATATTTGATCTTGAGATTCATGATCTTAAGCCGTAAAAATTCTTAATTGCACTATGAGCATGTATTTTTTAACAATGGGTCATCGTTACCGATGATGTATTTTTAAAAAATATATAGTACAAGAATTTTTAAAACAGTGCAATTTATTTTTCTAAAACCGTGAAAATTTTATTAGATATATTAGAAATGATGAGATAATTGATTGTATATAATTTTGTGACCACATTGTGGCCTGGAATAGCGAGAAAGTGTTGTCATGGTTATTGAACCTAAAGTACACATTTTATTTTTATTTTTTTGATAAAAGCAAAAGTACACATTTTAAAGGTAATCATAAACTTTCATATGTTAGGTGCTACAAAATCAATTACGCCACATTTTTTTAAATATATTGGTCGGGGGTACTTACTTGGCCAGGGGTTACTTGGTCAGTCAAGGGTTTATACTATATTAAAAATTAGGATTTTTTTGAAAATAACACCACATATTTTGAAAAAAATGGATTATAACACCACCTTTTTTCAAATTTATATTATTACACCACATAAAAGTCAAAAATTTTGATTTCACCACCATCTAACGGATTCTTGGATGTAATCCGTTAGTGGGACCCATGATAGACACGTGTTAACAAGACATTGGTTTAAAAAAAATTTAAAATAAAAAATAAATAAAAAAAACCCTAACCTAAACCCAGCCACCACCAGCACCACCTTCTCCAGCCGCGCCAACGCTTAACCCAAGCCGACGACGTCACCTACCACCCCGTAACCCGGCGAAATTCTCCCTTCCTTTCTCCCCCCTCCCCAACAACCACCCCAACCCTGCTTAACCGCCACAAATCACCTCATACCCCCCGCAATTAACCACCTACCACATCAAACTTCAACCCCGAAAACCACCCTTCCTTACCTTTCACCCTCAAAATGGCCGAAATCGACCATGACAGCCCTCGATTGGTCAATTTCGGCCGCTGATTTTGCAAATCTGGGGAAATGGGTGTGGATTTTGCGGCTGTTTGGGAAATGAGGGTGGATTTTTCGGCGGTTAGGGATGGTTTTTGCGGTGGTTTGGAGGGCTTAAGGTGGTTTTCAGGGAGGGAGATGGGGCGAAGTGGTGGATCGACATTAAAAGGGGTTGGTTTCGTCGGATTTGGTTGGGGCAATGGATGCCGGCGACAATTGGCGGTTGAGGTAGGTGGTGCAGAGGTGGTGGGATGGGTAGTGTTTCGGGGTTTTTTGTGTCCCTTGGTAGAGTTACAACACTAAGACTGGATTCAACTTGGACGCCTATACCTGCAAAACAACGGAGCACCGAATGGTCGGTGGTCCGCCTCCGAAGCTTAAGTTAGTACGGATTCGGAGAGTAAACGTGCGGAATGAAAGGTTATCTGCTCGGATTCTGAGCTCGAGTGTACTGTTCTCCTGAGAGTGACAGTTCAGACAATGATTGGTATTCAATCAATGAAGGTTCCTAGAAAAGTGTGCTCGTGAAAGAACATCGTTCCCCCTAAATGAGGGGAATGTTCCCTATTTATAGGGTCCTAGGAATGTGTGCCCTCCTAGGGTTTTGTGCCCTAGGGAAGGGCACGCAGCTTTTTGCAGGGCCTCGGGATTTGGGCCTTGAAAGCCGCCAAATCCAGGGGCCTGCTATTTGCCTGCCACGTGTCGCTCCCTGGGAGGTCCAAGGTGGCGCCCCTTCCAGTGACACGTGGCGGGCTCTGATTGGGCCAACTGGACAGGGTATTAATACCCAAGTTATTTGCCCCTCACAGGTGGCACGCGCTTGCCACGTGTCGCCTGTGACAGGTGTCAGTATCCGAGTGGACGGATTCAAAAATTACTGTTTGGAGGGAAAAATTAGGGTTTTTACCCCCCTATAAATAGTAAGTTTTGACCCCCACCCTTAGATTCACACCTTTGCGAATCTTTGGAGAATCTCTGGACATTTTGACTCTCAAAGAATCTCAAATTCCTTAAGTGTTTGACTTTGCAAGCATCCGACACTCGGCCAACTGTCCGACTGTTCTCAGCCAACCAAGCGTCTTTCAACCTTCTTCAAAGGTAACGTCTGTTCTCTTTTCTTTACTCTTCATCTTTTCTTTGTTTTTCAAAAAAATGGTTTCCCAATCGCACGCGGCACGACATAGGATAGTGATCAGCCAGTCACCAGGGACGGATGAATCTAGAACTAGCAGTGCCGAATGCTTGGCCAGCGATCCTGCTTTGCGAACTTCTCCGAATCCGATCGTTTATGTGTCTGTGCTAGACACTATGGCCAGAACGAAAAGAACAGCAAGAAAATATAACTCCGATGGATCTTTCTACCATTCGGATGGGTCGACTGTCTATTCAGACGACTCAATTAGGGCGCCTACTAGCGAGGTGTCTGAGCACCCTAATAGCCCTTCCTACCTTCCTCCAACCCTAACATATTACCATTCGTCCACCTCTAGTGGAACTCCCAGTGATGGAATCCTGGGAGAGGCGGACGAACAATACAGACCCGGGCCTTCTGGACAGGCGCCGAAAGAGAGTCTGGGGGAGGACCCCGCTGGCCCCAGACGGCGGTCCCCCAGCTCTGATGAGAGCTCTGATGACGAGTCGACCTCGTCATCTTCTTCTGAAAATGCCTCCATTACTTCTGAGGAGGCAAGGACCAAAATAGATTCCGCCAGGGAATCCCTGGCAGTGGATAGAGGGGAGAGTGCTTCTCGGCAATTGGAAAAATCCCTCTGCTATCACCATGTTCCGCCCAGCAAGCGGACCTCCATGGCATCCGGCCTTGCCAATTTTAGGCGCAAGGTCGTTTTGGGCCATGGCTATTCTTTGTCTGTCCCCAACAAGGACGACACCATTACTTGGTCGAGCTTGGCCAGCTACAAGGACCAAGCATTCGGCTGCTATGAAGCAGTCTTTCAAGCGGGCCTCCGCTTCCCTCTCCATCCGGCCGTGGAGAGGATTTTGGACGGATACCAACTGGGTATCTGGCAGCTCGTGCCCAACTCCTGGATAAATATCATTGGGTACGTAGCCGCCTGCGAGATGCTGCAAGTGGAGGCGAGTTTTGAAGTGTTCTCCTACATGCACTATCTAAGCCGGGCGCCTGCTAGGGGAGGTGAGGGCTTGTACACCTTGACCACTTGCAAGGGGTACATGATGGCTGTTGGCAAAAAGAACAAGTGGAAAGATTGGAGGACTAAGTTCTACATAGTCCATTATGCCGACAGCCGCCTGAACCAAAAGTATAACAGGTGGAACAAGAATCCACCTCTCCTAGCTGGCAGAAGTGCGCTGCCGCCTCTCCCTAGGCGAGCGCAAGAGGAGATCTTTGACAAGGGGTTGTTTACCGTGTCCGTGAGGACGAATGCACCAGGGGGGATAAGGAAGTTGTCCCTAAGTGTTATCTCCCCTTGTACAAATAGTTTGAGGAGGGAGTGTTCTTAGCCGCCTGTGGGCTAAGCTCTTTGATGCCGAGAGGTAGTCGGTTGTCTGTTTAGTATGCAATTTCATTTTGCTTTTCAATACTTTTTTGATGATTCTAACACCTTGTTCTTTTTGCAGACAAAGCAATGGAGAAGATCTCGGCCTCAAGGAAGCCGGCTTTATCTGCTGCTCGATACAGATCAAACGTCCTGAACAAAACTCCGGACGAGCAGAAACCAGTCGGGACGCCCAAGGTATAGACTTGCCATACTTAGGATTTTTTGGCTAAACTGGATTTGTCCGCATGGTTTCTGACATCTTTTCTTTTTTGTGTTGATGTAGGGTGCCCCCACCAAGCCTTCTCCTTCCAAACCATCCGACCCTAAACTTCAGAAAGTTAGGGCGGGAGATGTGAGCGTGTAATACCCCGTATTTTCATACGTATTTTCTAATTAATTAGTTAAGAAGTATTTTATAAAAAGGGTATTTTAGTGAATTTATTATTTGGTGCCAAAATAATATTTGAATTTTGGCGCCAAAAGCATTTTGAAAACTAATCATTATTTTGGATAAGATTTATCATCCATTTATCTTATCTTAAAAACCGGATTATTTACATATTTCGGATATTTTAATTAAAGCAAAATTATATTTTATTTATTATATTAAATGGCCGAAAATTCCCATTTATTTAGCTAGGAAATTCGGATTTTCTATGTATAGAAAATCTGATTTTCTTAGTTAATTATTGGTGAATAATTGATATTTAATTAATTAATTATTTATTTAATTATTCTATATTATTTAAACAATTATTTTTATTCCTTAAACCGAGCAAAAACTTCCTAAATACTAGTAAGGGAATCTCCTATTTTCCTTAATTCTAATTCTCCATCTTTTTAGTATCCAATCATCATATTCTCTTTCCTTTTGTTCCTCTTGATTATTCCCCAAGTAATTCTAATTTCCTTATTATTTTTCATGACATACATACATTCCATATTCAAGTATACACAATCACCTTAATATCCAAACTTTCCTTAATTCTTTACTCACTTCTCCAAGTAATCTCTTAAACCCTAATTACCATAATTCTTCCTAAATTTTCCTACCATAATTCATGATCATACTAGCCTATTAATACCCCTTCACACCTCTCACATTCTTCACACCAATTCTTTTCTTTTCTTCTCCTCAATTTTACACAAATCATCTCGTTTATCTTTGAAGCCAATTTTCAGTCACTTCCGGCCAGTTTTTGGGGTATTGACGTTTCACATAAAGTTGTTCCTCTCAAAAATTCCTTGAGTTTAGGATCAAGAATAACCCAATTCGGAAATATATAGAAGGAGTTATAGCCTCTACAAGTTCTGCCTATTATTTCCTACGCAAATCCAATTCTTCTCTTTTCCTTGGTTTCTTATCTTTTCTTCTTCTCTTCTCTTATTCAATTAATATTATTACTAGATGGAAGCCCGTGCGATGCACGATTTTTTATATACATATCTGAAAAGATTATTTTCATAATGTTAAAAGATATTTTTTATCATAAAAATTAAATTCTAAATAACTATTCGTAGTTTTATACTCTATTTTAAAGTATCTCATTATCATCGGATATTAGGATTAAATTTTTAATGTGAAAAGATATTATTTTGTTTTTTAAATTATATATCCTCTTTGAAATTTTGTTTGTATAACGAAAATGTGTTGTTCATCTATACATATATAGATATAGAATCACTATTTTTCTTTCACAAACAATAACTTAGACCATCATTATTCTTTTCCCTCGTATCAACTTTATACGATGTAAAATTAATAAATTAAACCCAAAACTATATGATAAAATAAAGACGGTGGGAGAAATAGTACGAAAATATGAATTTATAAATTTTTAAATAGTTAAATGAAAAATATATACCAAGAGTGTTGCATTACTGAAATTAATCTAATTGAATAAAATTAAATTTTTATAATGAACTTTCATTATAACATTTGATTGCTTGATATGAAACTATTACTCAATCAATCTTTAGAATATAGAAGTTGCCCAAAAAAAATTATAATAAGATAAGTAGTATACCAATATCATGATTTTTTGAACGAATGAAGCGTAGCATGAGCATAATAATGTGTACAAATCATTAGTATCATCCCTAATGAAAAACTAAAGTGTTAAAAAGTTAATCATTACTCTGCAAAATAAATCTAGAAGGTTGATATATACCTCAACCTTTTATGACAATATTAATTTCCATCCACCAAAATATTGAAATCAATGACCCAACCAATGGTGAGCTAAATAACGTTTATATGGGGTGAGTCCAATAGTGAGCTAAAAAAAAACATTATAAGGGTGAGTGGACTGAGATGGGAAGTCAGTGATGAGCTAAATAAACGTTTATATGGGGTGAGTCCAATGGTGAGCTAAAGAAACGTTTATAAGGGTGAGTGGGAATGGGATGGGAAGTGCAAGGTTTATATAGGGTGTTTGACTTTAACTATGTGCTATCATGAAATTCATGATAGACTTTATAAAATTCTATCAAGAAAATTATATTTTTTTTTATTCTTATATCATGATAGACTTCATAAATTATACCTTGTAAATTAATTTTGTTTAATTTTTTTTTTATAATTATCTAAAAATGAATAGATTTGTTTTCTACTTATTTAATCTTTAGATTATATTATATATATTCTGTTTTTTAAATTATATTTTGCTATGTATGGAATATCATAAATCAACTACCCTACTTTATCATCTATTAATTAAATTCTCAAAAAAAATAAATTATTTTTTTGCTTTATATCCAAAAACGTTTATGTTAATGTATGCAATATCATTGTGCTAAATCAACCTACTTTATTATCTATTAATTAAAATCTCAAAAAAGTCTATCTTTTGTTAAAAAATTTGTGTTATATTTTTAATTTACTTATCTATGTTAACTTACAAAAATTATCTAATTTATTTTAATTTATAATAATGCTTGAATATAAACTCTCAAATCCTATTCGTTAATTTTGCTTATGTGCCAATTGATTTTTTTAATTCTAAAATAAACTGTAAATCTATTTTTTCATTGGTCGAAATAATGACTTTGCTTATGTGGCGCTCCAAATGCTCTCGAAAAATGTCTACTTTATTTATAAATAAAATAAACCAAGCACCACCCACGACCCCCTCCCCAACCCTAGCCACGACCCTCGTCGGAAGCCCTATCCCCGCCGCCGACCTGACACCCTCTTCACGCTGGCACCGATCTGGACTTCAGGGAACGATGGTTGTCGGGTCGGTGGTGGTGGGGTTGCGTGTGTGTTGGGTACTTGGGTGTGGGATTAAATTTATAGTTTTTATTAAATAAATTGTTTTTAGCCTTACGTGCTCACACATGTCACTTGAAAAAAAAAACCTCTTTGATAAGTTACCGGTCACTTGAGATCGATAAAAGCGCATGTCCCTTAAAGTTCGGATTATTTAAAAATAATCCATAGTTAGGATTATTTTGAGCGGGTGGGCAAAAGTTGAGATTATTTTTATCAATAAGCCAATTTGTCAAACTAAGTGAATTTTTTTTATCTTCCATTCTTTTTATTTTTTTGGATTCATTGTTTGCTTATGTGGCAATTGATTTTTTTAATTCTAAAATAAACTGTAAATATATTTTTTCATTGGTCAAAATAATGATTTTGCTTATGTGGCGCTCCAAATGCTCTTGAAAAATGCCTACTTTATTTATATATACTAGATGTAAGCCCGTGCGATGCACGGTTTTTAAATATTTCATTTTGTACATTTTTTTTGTAATTTCTTAATATGTTTTGTTTTTATTTTCTATTCTATTATTTTAACATTAATTTAAGGTAAAATATTTTGTTAAGTTTTAAATTATTCTTATTCAAATTTTACGTATATATAGAACTTGAATTTATAAATTGAAATAAATATTATCTCATTCATCGGATAGTTAGATAAAATCATTAAATCAAAATATATTTTTTAATTTCTAATTATTTGTTAAAATAATATAAATCCTAATGTAAAAGATAATATAAAAGATATTTTTTTATTCATAATTTAAATCTTAAATTACTATTTTTTGTTTTTAATTCTCAAATTTCATTTGTTAATTTTTTCTTAAATGGCGACTGAAAATTAAAATTCTAAATTAATATATAAATATAATTTTTCATTGGTCGAAATATTACTTTTGCTTATGTGACGTGCGATGCACGAATTTTTATATACATTTTGTATATAAATATATTTTGGTGATATTTTAATTAACATCAAATGATAATTTATATTTTTTAAATATAAAAATATAATTTTTAGTTTTTTAAATAATATAAATCCTAATATATAAAGATAATTTTTAGTCTTGTAACAAATAAAAATGATAAAATTTAGTGTTCTCAAATAATTAAAATCCTAATAAATTACTATTCGTTGTTTTTACCTACATGACAAAAATTTAAAATTTCATTCGTCATTTTTGTTTAGGTGGCGAGTGATTTTTTTAATTCTAAAATAAAATAGAAATCTAATTTTTAATTGGTCAAAAATATGTCTTTTCTTATGTGGCGCTCCCAATGCTCTCCAAAAATGCCTACTTTATATGTAAATATTAGATTATTATTATTATGGGGGATTTATAAAAATTATTATGAGTATTTTTAATTACATAAAATCATATTTTTATGATGTTTATGAGAAATTAATTAAAAGGTTCATGTACATATAGTTGGGGGTTTTTAATTATTTGTTAACCTTATATTGATTAAGGTTATATTTATTTGTAGGGTGTGTTCTATCAAGATTCATGAGGTTCTTTTGGTATGTTTTGCTAAGCAAGGATCAAGGTACGTTAGGTGGCTAGATACCTTTGAAAGTGATTGGCTTGAATAACATTTTTTAATTTATATGATTTGATTGGTGATTGAATTAAATTGATTTGAATTATGATTTTGAAATAAATTATGTTTGGAGGTATTTATTTTAATAAAAGTATTTTGAATGATTGATTTTTAAATCATGTTTTGAATGGTTTAAATTACTTATCATATTTGGATTTGATTTGAAAAGTTTATTGAATTAAATAAAAGGTTTTTCATTGAAGAGTTATTGATTTTGAAATGTTATTAATATGAGATTTTATTCTCAAGTATTTTTTAAGAGGTTTTGATTTTGAAAGTATGTGGAATTATTAAAAAGGAGTTTGAATTATATTGGATTTATTGAACCATTGAAATATTATAATTAATTCTTTATAAGCATGATGGTAATCCCACTATGCGGATTTGGTTTATTGATAAGACTATGGACTTTGTATGACCTAGTCTTTCCTCAATAATAGCCTTGTAATATAAGGAGACTAGCTTGGGGGTGTGCACACTTGGGTGAGGAATTGGATTTAAAGAAATTGGTTCAAAAAGGAATTGGATTTTTAAAGGAATTGGTTTATCAATTATTTTGAATGTTGAATCATTGGAATTGGTTTTGAATCATGAGTTTTGGAATTATTGGATTATTTATTGGAAATTGGTTTTAAAACATGTTTGCGAATAAATTGAGTTTACATTATCTTGCACTTATCGTACTTAGCATATTTTGCTAATCCGTATTTCCTATTTGTTTTGGTTCGCCCTGTTTACCGTAATGGTAAGCAGTGTTGACTATTTTCAGGTGGAGTCATGAATGAGCATATGAGAGTCTCAGGATTTGCTTCACCTAGTTTAGGAATGTTGGTCTTGTCTTTATTTTGAGTACTCATAACACTGTTACTATTTTTATAAGTATTAATAAGATAAAGTTGAGTTTCCGCTGCAAAGTTTTGTTATTGAGTTAAGTATTTTGAGTAGCCTTGCGTAATCACGCGGCGGTAACACGCCCAAGTCTATCTCTACGGTATAATTATACGTATTATACTGGTATTTCCGTAGAGGGAGATTTGGGGGAGTTACAGAGCGCATCCGGCAAATCCCGGAAGCACATAGCTCACAAACCAAGGAGATCCACAGACGGCTCTTCTCTCGAAGCTGATAGGGAGATCAGCAAACCGGATGTCCAAAGGACATCGAAGGGTGGCTTCAAGCAACCCACCAATGTTGTCGGCTCAGCAGTAGAGAGGAGAAGTCTGGGGAAAGAGGAGGACGATCAGGACGACGGTAAAAACCATTCACCTTCTTTGTACTATCCTTTAGATAGACTTGTGTTATTTTACTAACTCTTTTCCTCCTTCAGTTCCTGTGTAGAGGCCGACTGTAGTCCAGATGGCCAAGTCCATGGTGAGGGCGGTTGATCCTGACGACAGGGCATCTGTTAGAGGAGTCGGCACCCTAGACTTGGATGACATCTTGGGGAACCTGTGCGAGGTACAAATTTTTACTTAAGATTTTTTTTTTCTCAAGTTTTTATCCGCCTAGTTTTAACCATTCGACTTTTTTGTTGAGTGCAGGCCATGCTGCGCGTTCATGGGCTAAGGTAGCCCCTCAAGGAGAAATCCAAAGAGGTAACAGCCGCTCATGCTCCAGCCGAGTCCGCCTTGGATCGAGCTCAATTTGATATTGCTTAGAATGAGCTTCTGACGCTTGATATGATGTATTCCCAGGCGGAAGCCAATCTGCAGGCGAAGAAGGACCTAGACTCGGCCCGCCTGAAAATCTCTAAACTTAAGACTAAAAACCAAGGTCTAAGGAGAAGCTTGAGCCTCTTCAAGAGGCCAATAAGGAGGCCGAGAGAGCCAAGCAGAGGGTAACCCGCCTGGAGCAGCGCCTGTCCAACCAGGAGAAGCAGCTGAAGACCAAGTATGAGTCCCGAGCTGATCAAGAGAGGGAGGCCCTTGTCAAACAAATGATGGATGACAATGAGGCTATCATGCGGGCAGCTTGGGCGGCTGTACAGCTGGACTCGGACTATCAGACTTGCAAGTCCAAGTTTGATGAGGCCAGCAAGGAATTCGACGCTCGCCTCATTGAAGAGGCTGAGAATGTAGCAAAAGCTGATGCTGCGGCTGAGGAAGGATCCAGGTCCGACTCTTCTGGGGAGTCGTCCTCTAGTGGTGAGGAGGGAGATCAGGCAGAGGAGGTGGAGAAGAATGAAGAAGAGCAGCCGAAGGACAACTGGCCGGCTGCCAATGCTGAGAACCTCCCCTGATCATTTAAGCTTTAAGTTATTTCTGCGGCTGAATGGCCATGTGTCTGCTTTTCCGGCCTGCGTAACGAGTATTTGTGTATCTTTACAGACCGAGGGGTAAGGTAATTTGACAGTTTCCCTGACTTTTCCATTAACAATCTTTACCCGGTCGTATGGTGGCGATTGGGCTTAATTTTAAAAACATTCGGCCATTAGGCTGAAGTTATTCATATTGTTGTCCTTTGAATTTTTTCATTGCATGTTTTTTTTTTTTTGGCTAAGTATTATAACCTGTATATCATGCGAATGTTTTTGCCCCTGGACGGATGTCGAGTGGTTTTGGTTGATTGGATTGATTGACTTAGAAATTATTGATACTTAGAAGAGTATGCATAGTTTCTAAGTCAATCAATCACTATGGTGATTGCCCTAAACCACGCGACAAACGGCCATCCAGAGTTAGCAAATAATTGTTTTCATTCGGCCATTGGCACAAACGAAACTTAAATTTTTAACTTAGCAAATTTGCTAAAGGGAAAACCTCCGCCTGTTTTGCCCCAAGAGCTAAAAACAGGCGCATCCGGCCATAGGCCTCGTTGAGATAAGATGCTAAGTTTGTAACTTAGCCAATTTACTTAAGAAGAATTGCCCGCCTGTCTTGCCCCAAGAGCAAAGAACAGGCGCATCCGACCCACAGGTCTCTCTTTATTTTGCTAAGTGTTTTAGCTCGTTTTCTTCGTAAGTAATAGTCCGCTTGTCCTGCGTTTGAGTAGAATCAGGCGTATCTGGCCAAAGGCCTCACAAGTTGTTAAGAAGTTAACTTAAATAGTATATTAGCAAAAATTTACCGCCTGTCTTGCCCCAGAGCAAAAACAGGCGCATCCGGCTTAATGCCTCAATAGCCTCTACTTATGAAATAGTGACCTTTTTCCAACTGTGCTAGAACAGTTAGAGAATTCTGGCCTTTTAGATTTCACTTTCGATTAAATCAAACGACTGCGAATGCTTCCTTAGCATTCGGTAGGGCCGCTTGATGTATTCGTAGAGCAATGTGCCACCCAAATAGGAGATGCTTCTCCTCGACGAATTCGCCCGAATGGACGTCGCCGGTTATCTAACTCATGTTGGAGCAGACGGTCATACTCATGTTGGAGCAGACTGTGACCATTTGGCCTCTATTTGTTTATTAATATCCGGCCATCGGCCTCAAAATAATATCCGGCCATTGCCCTTATCATGATTTTATCTGGCCTTAGGCCTCTTAAAAGGTTAAGTAAATATCCGTTAAGTGTTGACATAAACTCGAAGAATTTTGTAGGAACGGCTGCTTTAAAGCAGTCGGTTCCTTCAGAAAGATTGGAGCATCTGCTGTTGGGACAGACGCTTTCCAAATGCATTGGCCGTCTGTATTTTGTACAGGCGACGTTAATAAAACTTAGATAAAAATACAAGTTGGGAACTGAAGGCATATTCTCATTAACAAAACTTTGAGATAACAAAATTTGAGGTATTTACATTCGTACTTAGAAGTAGTACTTTTTCAAGTTGTCTACATTCCAAGTTCTAGGCAGCTGCCTTCCGTCTGGTTCTTCCCGGCGGTAGGTGCCGTCTCTTACTTCCTCATAGATTCGGTAGGGGCCTTCCCAATTTGGGGTTAGCTTTCCCTGCTCCTTCGCCCTACCGACTGCCTCCATTTTCCGTAGCAAAAAGTCCCCCACTTTGAGAGGGCGCTTGTGTACTCTTTTGTTATAAGCCCGAGTCATTCTCAGATGGTATATCTCATGGCGCAAGGCAGCATAGCCCCTGCGCTCTGGAAGTGAGTCCAATGCTAGCCGCATGGCCTCCCAGTTTGCCTCTTCGTCATACAACATGATTCGAAGAGCCGGCTCATAGTGTTCAATGGGCAGGACAACTTCTGCACCACACACCATGAGGAATGGGGTTTCTCCAGTCGCCCCTTTAGCATTCGTTCTGATGGACCAAAGGACGTGTGGTAATTCATCCGCCCAAAGTCCACCAGCCCGTTCAATTTTCTTTTTAATCCCGTTTGAGGTTAACTTGTTGAAGGCTTTGACCTGGCCGTTTGCTTGAGGCCAGCCGACTGATGCAAAGAAGCTTGAGACCTCTTGGTCTCCCAACCAAGTCTTGAGTTGAGGCGTCTCAAATTGAGGACCATTGTCAAAAACCATAGACATGGGCACCCTGAAACGAGTGATAATATTCCTCCAGATGAAGGAAATGACATCTTTCATCTTGATGTTTTTGACCGCCTCTGCCTCTACCCACTTGGTAAAGTAATCCACAGCCACCAATATGTAGCGCTTGCCGCCTGGTGCGGCTGTGTATGGCCCCAGTATGTCCATGCCCCACTTGGCAAAGGGTATTGGGCTGTGGATGGTCGTCGGGTCGGTAGCCCCGACGATGGATGAGCTTGCCAAATTTTTGGCACTTGTCACATTTTTTCACCATCTCCATTGCATCCGACTCCAAAGTTGGCCAGAAATAGAGCCGCCTACCCTTGGCAGCGAGGGATCTGCCGCCTATATGGGAGGCGCAGTATCCCGAATGCAACTCTTTGAGGACTTCTTTACCCTTCTCAGGGGTAACACACTTCAACAAGGGTTTCAAAAAACCAACCCTGAAGAGCTCTCCTTGTCGCAACTCGAAGTTAGCCGCTCGTTTCCTCAGAACAGCCGCCTCCTGTGGTGAATCAGGGAGCGTGCCGTCTGCAAGATAGGCCCGGATGCTATCCATCCAAGTTGAGCTTTGGTCAAGAATTCCAATGGGGTCTTCTTCAGATATACTTCTTTTTTCCATGACCTCCCAGAAGACTGACTGAGGCGTTTCACAGGAGGCGGATGATGCCAGCTTGGACAGAGCATCCGCTTGATTGTTTGAAGACCTGGGCACTTGAATTAGATGGAATCCCTCAAGTGCCTCAACTTCATCTTTGACCGCCTGCAAGTATTTTACCATGGCCGGATGAGTGGCCTCGTAAATCCCATTGACTTGGAGTACGACCAGTTGAGAATCAGAGCAGGCGTCAATTTTCTTTGCCCCTGCTGCCTTACAGTACCGAATGCCGGCTAGCAGGGCTTCATACTCGGCCTCATTGTTTGAGACCTGGAACTTGAGCCGTAGTGCATACTCATACTTATCTCCCTCAGGAGATTGACAGATAATTCCTGCACCACACCCGTTCGTAGTGGAGCTCCCGTCCACATACACTTTCCAAACCTGACTTGTATTGTCCGGACCAACCGGCCTGGTCATTTCCACAATAAAGTCAGCAAATGCTTGCCCCTTTATTGCTTTCCTTGGTTCGTAAGTGATTTCCAATCCTTGCATTTCAATCGCCTATTTGAGCATTCGTCCAGAAGACTCCAAGGTTGTTAAGTGGCCGCTTGATCGGTTAGTCATTGTAGACCACTACCGCATGCGCCAAGTAAGGTTTCAACTTCTTTATGGCCATGTAAAGGGCGAGACCAAAATTTTCAACCATGGGGTACCGAAGCTCAGCGTTCCTCAGAACATGGCTGATGAAATAGACAGGGAGCTGGGTGCCGTCTCTTTCAGCTAAGAGTACGGCGCTGAGGGCATGATCGGAGACGGCCAAGTACATGAAGAGCTTCTCTTTGGGCAAAGGGCTAACAAGTCTCGGCAAAGAGTGCAGATGAGTTTTTAACTTTTGAAAGGCCGCCTCTGCATCATCCCCCCATTCAAAATTGGTCTTCTTCCTGATTGCCTGGAAGAAGTAAAGACACTTGTCGCCTGACCGACGGAGGAATCTCCCAGGGCCGCCAGGCAACCTGTCAGTTTTTGCACTTCTTTCACAGTACGGGGCGACTGCATGTCGATGACCGCTTGGATTTTCTTAGGGTTGGACTCTATTCCCCTTTGGTCAATCAGGAATCCGAGAAACTTCCCAGACTCAACACCAAAGACACAATTTTTTGGATTTAGCATGACCTTGTGCCGCCTGAGTGTGGCGAATGTTTTTCGGAGATCAGCAAGGTGATCAGCTTGTTGTTTGGATTTGACTATCATGTCATCAATGTATGCTTCTACATTCCTTCCAATTTGATTACTGAAGATCATATTAATCATTCGTTGGAAAGTAGCAGGCGCCTTCTTCAAACCAAACGGCATCACAGTATAACAGAACAACCCCTGATCAGTGACGAATGCCGTCTTTTCTTGATCCTTTTTTCCACAGGGGGATCTGGTGGAACCCTGAATAGGCGTCCATGAAACTCATCAGGGCATGTCCGGCTGTTGAATCGACCAGACTGTCGATCTTTGGCAGTGGATAACTATCCTTCGGACATTCTTTGTTCAGGTCGGTGTAGTCAACACACATCCGCCAAGTTCCATTCGGCTTTTTTACTAACACCACATTAGCCACCCACTCAGGGAAATTACATGGCCGAATGAACTTGGCGTCTAGCAGCTTTTTAACTTCAGCCGCTGCCGCCTGACTTCTTTCCTTGCCGTGGTTTCTTTTCTTTTGTCGAATGGGCTTCTTTTTGGGATCCACGGCGAGTTTGTGGACAGCGAGATCCGGGCTGATGCCTGGCATCTCTTCCACTTCAAAGGCAAAGATGTCTTTTAATTATTTTAGTAGCTGGTGCAGGCTGTCACCTAGCTTAGCGAATGCAACCATCCCCACCTTAACAGTCTACTCAGGCCGACTGTCATCCAGAGGGATATCCATGTGGTCACCAGTCGGCTGGGGACGGAGGTCATCTGACCATTCCCCGGTCAGTGATTGCTATTGCTTTTCTTTTTTTACCACCACCAGCTGATCAATCTTTCTCTTTTTTGGCTGGTGGGGCCGCCTGATCTTCCTTGATATCATCAAGGTCGATTGTTTGTTTGCCCCGAACGGTTGCTGCGACCGCGAGCTTGACGTCCGAGAGATAGCACTCTCGAGCCGTCTTTTGGTCCTCGTTTAGGGAACCGACTGTGCCATCATCCCTCTCATACTTGACAAGCATGAGGGCAGGAATGATGACGGCCTT